TTCCTTTACATAACGGGAACCTTGGTCTCCACAAGTCCGAACTCAGACATTCCCTCCTATTGATTCTGTCTGCATAATGGGAACCCTAGTCTCCATAATCCCTTATCTTTTTTTTTGAGAGTCTCGCTCTGTTGCCCAGGCTGCAGTGTAGTGGCATGATCTTGGCTCACCACAACCTCTGCCTCCCAGGTTCAGGTGAATTCTCCTGTTTCAGCCTCCTGAGTAGCTGGGACTATAGGCATGTGCCACCATGTCCAGTTAATTATTATATTTTTAGTAGAGACAGGGTTTCACTATGTTGGCCAGGCTGCTCTCAAACTACTGACCTCATAATCTGCCTGCCTCAGCCTCCCAAAGTGCTGGGATTTACAGGTGTGAGCCACTGTGACTAGCCAAAACCCCTTATCTTAACCTAGATCCTCCCTTCTATTGATTCTAGGTGTTTAGACAGTAACAACTCAACCAACTGACAATCAGAAAATCTTTAAATCTACCTATGATCCGGAAGCCATCCACTTCAAGTTGTCTTGCCAATCTTACATATACTGATTGATGTCTATGTCTCCCTAAAATGTATAAAACCAAGCTGTAGTCTGACCACCTTGGACACATGTTCTCAGGAGCTTCTGAGGACTGTGTCATGGGGCAATGGTCGCTCATATTTGGCTCAGAGTAGATCTCTTAAAATATTTTACAGAGTTTGAATCTTCATTGACACTGGAAGTGGGATAGCCTATGTGGCTGGTTGGGGAAGCATATTTAGCTCTCTCTGGGTCATCCCAAATTGGAATTAGGTACAAAGATTAAGGAAGCTGGTAGTTACTGACCAAGTTCTGACAGTTTGGGCCTATTGCTACAGAGGTCATGGGTCAGAGTTCTAGTTTCATATATGATCTGGCCATTGTCCATCTGTAGATTCAGTCTTTCATTATTCTAATACAGAAACTGGTACCTAGAAGTGAGGTGCTGCTGCAATAAAAACCTATGCAGCACTGCCTTAGTGATACTGCCTTAATGGTCAGGCTGAGGGCTGAGAGGAAACAGATACCAGAAGCTGGAAAGATGGAGGATCATGTTTTATAGAGGCAAAATATTTGGTAAGGCTGTTACCTATAATAACTTTTCATACAACTACAAGGTCAGTGAGCATACAAAGAGGCTACTGACCTTGCAATCTTATTAAAAAAAAAAAGTTTGGAAAAGAGGATTTTGGAAGCAAATATTGACTACTATTGTATATTTGGCAAAGTATTATAAGCAAATGATGAGCTCAAGAAAGAAGCAGCAGATTTCAAAGAAAAATAGAAGGGAATAGAAAATGTTCAGAAATTTAAACTCTCAAAGGATTGGAAAAGCAACTTGCACCTAGACCTGTAGAGGCAGGATTAAAAGACTGAGTACAGATACCCACTGAAAACTCTTAGCTAACTACTACTTCAGGGGTAAAGAACACCTTAAGGATGTAGCCTTCCCGTCTAACCTAATGAGTAAGACTAGCCTCAAATAACCAAATGAGTAATAATCCATCTCAAAAAAAAAAAAATTTTTTTTCTTAAATCATCTGAAGTTCAGACTAAAAAACTCTGTCTATTCAAAATTTAAAACCCTTTGGGCCGGGCGCGGTGGCTCAAGCCTGTAATCCCAGCACTTTGGGAGGCCGAGGCGGGTGGATCACGAGGTCAAGAGATCGAGACCATCCTGGTCAACATGGTGAAAACCCGTCTCTACTAAAAATACAAAAAATTAGCTGGGCATGGTGGCACGTGCCTGTAATCCCAGCTACTCAGGAGGCTGAGGCAGGAGAATTGCCTGAACCCAGGAGGCGGAGGCTGCGGTGAGCCGAGATCGCGCCATTGCACTCCAGCCTGGGTAACAAGAGCGAGACTCCGTCTCAAAAAAAAATAAAAAATAAAAAAAATAAAATAAAATAAAATAAAACCCTTTGACCCCCAACTTCTAAGAACAACAAGCTAGTTGAGAAAGATTTGTACTTTCCAAAGGGAGGATACTCATCCAACACACACTTCACAGGTCATGGAAAACAATGAGAGAGTTCCTTCCAAATAAATCAAGGTCCAATCTCCCCTACCTCCAGGACTGGTTGCTTACACAGAATCTGCTGCTTATCTCTCATTATTCTCCTTTTCTAGGAGTAGTGCTTACTGTGGCCTTCCTAGCAGTATTCTATTCTTGTGTACTGTGGTGAGTGAGGGGAAGAGAAAAGGAAGAAAGATAAGAGAGAAAGAGTCACAGTGAGAGAGAGACAGCAAGAGAGCATACAAGTGACACACAGGACACATTACTTCACAGGTCCCTGGAGCAAGAGGAACCATATCTGGACCTGATTACGAGATTTGGACATGGGGACCAAAGGACCTATGAATCTTGCCTCTATCACTGATTAGGGCCCTATTTGTTAGCAAAAGAATAACATAATACCAAGAACATCATTCCACGGTAATAGCTGTCATGTTTCTTTTTATTTTATTTTTAAATAGAAATGAGGGTCTCTCATCTACATTGACGAGGCTGGTCTCAAACTCCTGGCCTTAAGCGATCCTCCCACTTTGGCCTTCCAAAGTGTTGGGATTACAGGTATGAGCCACCATGCCTTGCCAATATCATGTTTGTTTGAGTCTAAGCATGCTGTTCTACATTTTAATATTTCTAAAATTTAGGGCCAGGTGCAGTAGCTCATGCCTGTAATCCCAAAACTTTTAAAGGTTGAAGTGAGTGGATCTCTTGATCCCAGGTGTTTGAGATTAGCCTGGGCAACAAAGTGAGACCCTTTCTCTACAAAAAATAGAAAAAAACAAATAAACAAAAAAACCAGCCAGCTATGTTGGTGTGCACCTGCAGTCCCAGCTACTGGGGAGGCTAAGGCTGCAGTGAGCCGTGACTGTGCTCCAGCCTAACCATCAGAGCAAGACTCTGTCCCACAAAAAATAAATAGAGTATATCTTGAGATCAACGTTAAAAGAAAATTTCCAGGTCCAAAGCAGAGAAGTTCTGGAGTAGCAGTCATTGCACATGCCTAGCTTAGCCATAAATAAAAGGCGAAATCTCCTTGTTACCTCAATTGTATTATTTTCTTTTTTTTTTTGAGACAGAATGTTGCTCTGTGGCCCAGGCTGGAGTGCAGTGGCATGATCTCTGCTCACTGCAACCTTCACCTCCTGGGTTCAAGCAATTCTCCTGCCTCAGCCTCCCAAGCGGCTGGGATTACAGGCACACGCCATTACACACAGCTATTTTTTTTGTATTTTTAGTAGAGATGTTTCACCATCTTTTTTTTTTTTTTCTTTTTTTTTAAAGACGGCGTTTCACTGTGTTGGCCAGGATGATCTCAGTCTTTCTGACCTTGTGATCTGCCCGCCTCAGCCTCCCAAAGTGCTGGGATTACAGGCGTGAGCCACCATGCCCAGCTACTCCATAACTTTCAATGATTTTTAACCTAATGGTTAAAAGTAAGAGCTCTGGAATCAAACTGCCTGGGTATGGCAAATCTCTTCTTTTTTTTTTTTTTTTTTTTTAAAGTTCAGACCCTCATCAAAAATACAAACAACAAACAAGTATCATTGATTAGTTTGTCCAACGTAGGAAAAAAACAGGTACCATCACATAAGATTGGGTTGAATTAAGTTTATCAGGAAGGTACCCTAGCTGGGTGCAGTAGTGCACCTACAGTCCCAGCTTCTTGAGAGGCTGTGGTGGGAGGACTGTTCAAGCCTAGGAGTTGGAACCCAGCACAGGCAACATAGCGAGTCCCCATCTTTTTTTTTAAAAAAAAAAAAAAAAAAAAAGTGACTATGTCATAGCTTTGACCAGATCAGTAATGAGGACAGCAACAATAATATGTGCTGTTTCTTTTTTTAGCAGCATAGTCTCATTTGTATAAACAGCAATATTCAGGAAACTGCATACTGACCTTTTCTTCTGTTCACTTTTATAATTGTGGGATCAAAAGTGAAAAATGCTGAAAAAAGACTGCTGCTTCTACTTGGCGAAAATGTTATTCAATAACTAAATAACTTTTGTGATGTATAACAATCTCCCACTAATACAAATAAAACATCTAAAATAACTAAATAACCCGAGTTAGAACCATTCCAAGACTTATGTATATAGAATAACAAGGACTACCAATAAAAACAAAATAAAAACGACCTACACAATGAAAGCCAGATATTATACATTTAAAATATAGCAAAAAAATTTTTTTACTTGTTTTTGGAGAGCAACAACAAGGCATATTCAGTCAATATTTAGGCATAGAATGTGCCGTTCCAGGAATGGACCATGATCTAGTTTCTTGCAGTAGCAGCCAATGGGACTAACACAATGCTATTTCTTTCACTGTTCAATCAAACTCCTCCACTGCCTTAGGGAATGAACTAACCCATTTTAACGTCAGAGATAAGCTTTGTTTTCGCAGCAGAGAACATGCATTCCAACTATAATGTCCTACCTTTTCTTCCTCATGGAGGAAAATTGATAAAAATCATAAGCTTCATGATCGCTAACATTCAAATCCATTTTCAAAACTGGAGTTATACAGTATTATTTCTGTGCATGAGACTATACTTATTGTTCACAAAATTTATGAATAACTTCTGGAGGATGATATATAAGTCGTATTAACATATGAGTTGACAAACATTAAATTTTGTTCCATTAGAAATTGACAGAGAAGTCAGAATGGGGATTAATTAAGTCATCTGGAAGTCATTCATTGAGCTACAAGCCATTTCAGGTTATAAAAAACGCTGTTCCCTTAATTGTCGTTCCTTCATTTTCTGTATTTATATACACACTCCTACTCCGTAAAGACCTCTCCATCTCTCCCACCACTTCCAACTATGAACAGTAACCTCAAATCACACGAAACTAGACATAAGAGACTCCCAGGATTTCTTCAAGATAAACCCAGGATCAGTGCCCTCTGGGATTCAAAGAACTGTAGCTCTTTCATTGCAATATTCCTTCAGAACCACCTTTCCCATTCCTTCCCTGTGGACACCGCCGACTCGCGTTTTGGGGGTGGGATGGGAGACAGTAGGCGCAAGGCCGCCAGCAAGATAGGCTCTTCCCAGCCAAACGTGCACGTCTCAGGCCGAAATGCCTGGGGCTCTTCCTGCAGCACCGGTGCGGCCAACCCTCGCTTCCCCAGGGCAGGGCTCAGCTCAGGTCAATGCAACCAGCCCAGTCAGGCCGGGAGCGGGCCGCCTCGGCCCGCCAGTCCACGGCAACCTCTGGACCCCCGCCAGCGGGGATGGGCGTGGGCCCCAGCGGCCACCGCCCCGCCAACTCGAGCTCAGGAGGAGAGAGTGAGCCCCACCCGCTACGCCAGCCCCGGACCTACCTGGAGGGGAAAGGAGAGCTCCTGGACAGCGGCCACCGGCCCGAGGGCGGGCGCCTAGGCGGCCGGAGCCCGTCCCAGCAACCCCAAGTATCCCTGGTGGGGCACAGCGGTAGAGACGCCAGAGGGCTGCCGCGGGCCAGTGTAGCCCGTCGCGGGGGTCGCGAGGACCTGACTCTCCCCTTAACACCAGGCCACCGCCGCCGCCGCCATTTTGCCTTCCACTCAATGTCGCCGCCGCCGCACTCCGTTGCAGGTTTCCCGGATGTGGGCATTTCCCGGCGTCGCTTGCGCGGAGGCCGAAGACTGGGGGCTTCTGCCCGCCCGGTAGCAGCTAGGGAGCGCGCTACCTGTGGCCCCTGGGCCTGGTTGCGTCGCCCGCCGCTCAGAGCCTTCGTGAGCGTCGCCCCACGTCGCTCCCGCCTGCCCCTGCCCAGAAGACTCGCCCGCGGCCATGGGTTAAGGCTCTCTCCTGCCCAGCTCACTCGGTTGATTCAATTCTTTTTCCCATTGATCTCTTTGGACCGAGCAGGGATGCGCATTTTACGGAGCTTCGTTCTCGGAAGGGAACAACTGTGAGTTGCTCTGGGAAACCTCGCTGTGGACCTCAAATTCGAGTTTTGGCGCTTTGAAATAAAATTTTCTTCTTGCTTAGCGTTCTTTCCCCGAACAAGTCCATGAGCTTCCAGCATCTGTATTTTCTGAATCAGCCAGATAAGAAGTTTTTGAGCCAGGACCGATTGATTAGCAGAGTTTAGAGATCTTACCTGTCAGCTGCATCCGTAGGAGGTCGTTATTGCCATAATTGGAATAACGGTGACGGTGTGACAAGAGGTTTTACTTCTTGTAAAGTTGAATGGAAAATCTGGGATGGGATCATTGGGTTTGATGTGTAAGGCACTGTCCACACTTTGTGAAGAATGCCTTTGCCAGTGTTTTCAAGTACCTTCTTTTGTAATTTTTCTACTATAGACTACAAAAAAATTAAAGACGTCTTTTTCTGATGTTAAAGTAATAACTGGCTGCTTACTGTATTCAGAAATCCAAACGTGAAAACCTGTTAAACGATTATGTTCTGCTGGCCATGATGGCTCACGCCTGTAATCCCAGCACTTTGGGAGGCCAGGCGGGCGGATCACAAAGTCAGGAGTTCAAGACCAGCCTGGCCAACACAGTGAAACCCCGTCTCTACTTAAAATACAAAAATTAGCTGGGCATGGTGGTGCTCACCTGTAGTCCCAGCTACTCAGGAGGCTGAGGCAGGAGAATCTCTTGAATCAGGGAGGCAGAGGTTGCAGTGAGCCGCACCACTGCACTCCAGCCTAGCACTTTGGGAGCCCAAGGCAAGTAGATTGCTTGAGTCCAGGAGTTCAAGACCAGCCTGGGCAATATAGTGAAACCCCATCTCAATAAAAATTGCAAACAATAATCAGGCTTGGTAGTACATGTCTGTAGTCCAGAAACTTGGGAGACCTAGATGGGAGAATCACTTGGGCCCAGGAGGTCAAGGCTGCAGTGAGCCAGGGATCACACTACTGCACTCCGGCCTAAGTGAGAGTTAAATCTTGTCTCAAACATCTTTCCCAATCAATGGGATTAAAATGGAGAGAGCATGCTGGGCTAATTATGTATAAAATAATTAGCTTCTACAAAAGATACAAAGAAAATTGTTAGTACTTTCCTATATTGAAATGAAATTTTTCTTAGAACAAGAAGGATAGGCCCATATTAAAGATTAAAAACCATCTGCATTAACTCCTGAATATAGTAAGTGTGGCTTAGGAGAATCACATGTGAACGCTTCAGAAAGCTGAGACAGCATTACAAAGGAAAATTATTCCTAGAAAAACGATGGCAAGGTTTCTGTCATAATCAGCAAGGTAGACAATGTATGAAAAAGTGTTTATCTTGGAAGTCACACTTAAGAGGGCCTCTGGCCGAGCATGGTAACTTATGCTTGTAATCCCAGCAGTTTGGGAGGCTGCGGCAGGTAGACCACGTGAGGTCAGGAGTTTGAGATCAGCCTGGCCTATGTGGTAAAACCCCATCTCTACTAAAAATACAAAAAAATTAGCCGGGTGTGGTGGCACACACCTGTAATCCCTGCTACTAGGGAGGCTGAGACAGGAGAATCGCTTGAACTGGGAGGTGGAGGTTCTAGTGAGCTGAGATCTTGCCATTGCACTCCAGCCTGGGTGAGGGACACTTAGACTCAAAAAAAGAAAAAAAAAAAGAGGACCTTTGACAATGAGGAATATTTTTTAAAGGGACAACAAGATTGTGAGTTTAGCTCAGGTCAATTAATAGTGATTCATTGCTTACTACGGTTCAGATACTGGTAAATAGTTAATACACTAAGACATGGGCCCTGTTCTTGATCTTGCAGCCCAGTAGGGGGAGACAGGCTCCTTAACACATTCCTTTGAGCACACTTTAAGTTCTGCACAATGGGCTTTTGAAGCAGAGTGCAACTTAGTCCAGATTGCTGGAGGCCAGTAAAAGCTGTCTGAAGAAAATGACACCTAGAAGGAGTCTTGAAGGATAAGAAGGATTTAGCCAAAAATGGCAAGAAACAGTGAGAAGGAAACCTTGACTGGAGAGGCTATAATAATCACTTTTGAATATTTGAATATGAGAGGAATTTTGTGTGGGTGGCTCCTAAGACAAATGAAAGCAAATTTCAGTTCAGTATATGAAAATTCATTTATTTAGTGAAACCCTATGGTAAAAGATCCCGACACAAAGCAGATTCAAATATAATTGGTGATTGGCTCAACTCATAGGCTCACATGATCAGTGCGTTAACATACACCAGGACTATACCTTTTTACAGGATTGCTTTGGGTCCCACTCTTACACTAAAATCCTGCCATAATGCTGTATCAAGTAGAGCTGTTCAAATGTGAAGCCGCATTGGAAAATGGGAATATTTATCACCATATATATATATATATATACACTTTTTTTTGAGATGCAGTTTCACTCTTTCACCTAGGCTGAAGTAAAGTGGTATGATCTCGGCTCACTGCAGGCTCTGCCCCTGGGTTCAAGCGATTCTCTTCCCTCAGCCTCCTGAGTAGATGGGATTATAGATGCCTCCCACCATGCCCGGCTACTTTTTTTTTGCATTTTTAGTAGCAACCAGGTTTTGGCATGTTGGCCAGGCTCATCTTGAACTCCTGACCTCAGGTGATCCGCCCACTTTGGCCTCCCAAAGTGCTAGGATTACAGGCGTGAGCCACCATATGTTTTTAAGAATAGGGTGGATGATAATTTGTTGGGAATACTGTAGAAGGGATCATGAATTTTAGGCTGGAGATGCTTGCCAAGGTACTTTCTACCTCTAAGAACCTGCAACCCTTGAAAGAAACTATAGTTTAATAAGGGCAGTGACAATGAACAGATTCATAAATTATGGTGTTATATTACATATAGCTTAGTTTCTTATTAAAATTGGTAGAACTTGTCAATTGGCATGAAACGTAACACTGTTAAAATGTATTCCTCTTATGGTTACAAATACCCTGAAAGCCTTAAAGCCTGTACCACTTACTCACTCACAATAATCAAGGGAAATTTTATATATGGCTGCTAGAAATTGAGAAGATGTTAGCAACATATATGAAAACTTCAGAGTTTTCGGCAGTGGTCATTACAGATAAAAACAGAAGAGGCCGGGCTTGATGATTCTCACCTGTAATCTCAGCATTTTGGGAAATCAAGGTGGGTGGATTACTTGAGGTCAGGGGTTCAAGACCAGCCTGACCTACATGGTGAAACCGTCTCTACTAAAATTACAAAAAAATTAGCCAGGTATGGTGGTGTGTGTCTGTAATTCTAGATACTTGGGAGGCTGAGGCAGGAGAATTGCTTGAACCTGGGAGGCGAAAGTTGCAGTGAGCTGAGATCAGGCCACTGCATTCCAGCCTGGGTGACAGAGCAAGACTGCGTTAAAAAAAAAGAGAGAAAAGAAAGTTGGGGTGAGGCAAAAAACAGGCTTACTATTCACTGTACATGGAAAATGTGCCACCTGAGAGCCAGGGTCTTTTCCACGAATGAGAATGAGTTCAAGGCCCACTCACAGCAAGATGTTAGCCTGCTGAGTAGGATCTGAGGGTGCCTGCACTGGGCAGAGAGGGCCACTGCCTCAGCAGGCTTTAGGCTATAGTAATAGACGTTTGTACAAAGGGAAATAGAAGGGCAAAGGAAAATCCATAGCTATGGTGTTTTTAAAAAATTATTTTTATTTATTTATTTTTGAGGCAGGGTGTCACTCTGCCACCCAGGCTGGAGTGCAGTGGTGCAACCATGGCTCACTGCAACCTTCATCTCCCAGGCTCAAGCAATCCTTCCAGTTCAGTCTCCTGAGTAGCTAGAACCACAGGCCCAAGTCACCATGCCTGGCTGTTTTTATTACTGAATCAGAAAGAGTGAAAATTGGTCCTGAAGCATTGTGAGCCACTGAGTTTTCATTTTTCCCATTTAGTATGAATGTATATATTTCTCTGCCAAAATACTGTGTTTAACACCTCCTCCAGGCCCAGAGCTATTACTTACTGCTAAAACAATGTTTTTATTAAGAAGCCACCTAGTCTTATAGAATTTCTCAACAGTTGCATCCCATGTTGTCATTTAACATGTTCTTTTGTTTCCTGTAGTGTCTGTAAACTGGCAGACAGGTAAATCAGGTTCAGTTTTGTTGCTAGGAATTGAGGAAGGACAGCTAGGCTGATAACAGTCCTTGAACTGATATTTAGGGTAATGGCAACTATCTGAATTATCTGGTTTACTTTTCAGTGCTAGGAAAAAACCTACCCTGAGCTGAACAAGTATGTGTTTTTACTTACTCCTGGAATGCTACAAAATGAAAGACAAGTAGTTCCTTCTGGGCAGGAAATTTCATATGTGGTATTAGTTACTCCTTTTGTATGGCATCAGGAAGCACATAATATCTACTTGTGTAAAAAGAAGAAAACTTCAGATGCATTAAATAATTAAATTCCAAATGCAATCATTACATGCAAAATATAAAAACCACAAAATAAAATGAATTACAGGTTAACATTTACATAACTCTAGGACAGGATAACATGATGCCAGGGGACAAAAAGTATTAAGAAAGAAATCAAATGATTTGGCCAGGTGTGGTGGCTCACCCCTGGAATCCTAGCACTTTGGGAGGCCAAGGTGGGTGGATCACCTAAGGTCAGGAGTTTGAGACCAGACTAGCCAACATAGTGAAACCCCATCTCTATAAAAATATAAAAAATTAGTCGGGCGTGGTGGCACATGCCTGTAATCCCAGCTAGTCGGGAGGCTGAGGCAGGAGAATTGCTTGAACTGGGGAGGTGGAGGTTGCAGTGAGCTGAGATCATGCCATTGCACTCCAGCCTGGGTGACAGAGCAAAACTCCGTCTCAAAAAACAAAAACAAAAACAAAAAAAACCAAGAAACTAACTGATTTGAGCACACACAAAATGCAAATTCTATGAAAAGCACCATATTTAGCCTGGGCAACTGTGAAACCCCATCTCTACTAAAAGTACAAAAATTAGGCATGGTGGTACACACCTCTAGTCCCAGCTATTCAGGATGCTAAGATGGGAGGATCATCTGAGCCCAGGAGGTCAAGGCCACAGTGAACCATGATCATGCCACGGCACTCCAGCCTGGGCGACGGGAGTGAGACTATCTCAGGAGGAAAAAAAAAAAAAAATCAACAGAATACAGATTTAAAAAAAAAGCCCCATAAGTAAAGCTAAAAACTAAATTTAAAATACCTGTATCATACGACCAAAGGCAAAAAAACAAACAAAAACCATATATAAAAAGATGTTACAAATAAGAAAATGCCAAACTACCTCAAAAAATGAAAAGGTTATAAGCTAAGAATAAAAGCAAGTTTTAAAAGAAATGCAAATTAAACCAAACAGGTATTATAGCAGTAATCATAATGGTGAGAGGCTGGAAATATGAAATAATCAATAATAGGCAACCAATTGAAATAAATTATGGTACACGCACCTACAGCTTAGAATATTAAGTAGCAGTTCAAAATGATAATAGAAAAAATGTGTTTACTGCTAGGGAACGTGCATCCACAAAGATAATATATATATGTATATTTCATTTTATTAAGAAATTATATACATTGATGGATAGAAATGGATATGAAAAGAGTATTGTCTATTTGAAATTCTAAGTACTTAAAATTTTCTTTTGACTTTGCTTTTTCTGTAATTTATTTAGTAACAAAAAGTCTTTAAAAAATCAGTCCCAGCAATAATACTATAGACAGATCAAAAACCCAAAAACCCCTGAGGTAAAGTGGCATTAAAAAAATTGAAAATAGGCAGGGTGCAATGGCTCACACCTGTAATCCCAGCACTTTCGGAGGCCGAGGTGGGCTGATGACTTGTGGTCAGGAGTTCCAGATCAGCCCTGGCCAACATGGTGAAACCCTCTCTCTACTACTAATTAAAAATTAGCCAGGTCTGGTGGTGCACACCTGTAATCCCAGCTACTGGAGAGGCTGAGGCGGGAGAATTGTTTGAACTTGGGAGACAGAGGTTGCAGTGAGCTGAGATCATCACTCCAGCAATAAGAGCGAAACTGTCTCAAAATAAAACAATTCACCAGCCAAAAAAGGAAATATTTATTAGGACAGAAAAGCAAAGCCTTATCATAATTCCATAATTATGATTATTGGAATTATAAAGTAAATGAACACTTCAATTGTCTAATAGCAATGATTTATCATTAAGGTCTCAGGTCAATAACACATTTAAAATCTAACAAATTTTGGAAAGACAATATCATTAAATTATCTTAAAACACTACATTAGGTCATTATTATCCCTGCAGACAAGAATAAAGATGGCTGATAAGACTATAGGTGGCTAAAACAAAAGGATTAAAATGGCAAAATTCTGGTGGGGGGTGGGGACAAAGGTAAAAAAAAAAAACAAGAAAAAAAATGGCACAATTCTTCACTCTGATTATATCATCATTTGATTAATCACACGTGTTAACCATTGAATTTTAGTTTGGAAGTCAATTTGCTTATCAGTATCAAATTCTACTTTATCACACAACGTCCAGTTTGGCAATTTTCAACTATGCTGTGAAGCTAAACAAAAGCTAAATTCCTTAGGAAAAATGTTGTGTTTGTTCCCTTTTCAACAGAAATAAAGTTGGGTCTAAGGAGTTGAAAGAGTTCTGCTCAAAAGCCTATTCTGAAAAAGGAATTTGTCAAAACATTTTCATCTTTAAAAAATTTCGGGCCAGGCACAGTGGCTCACACCTGTAATCCTAGCACTTTGGGAGGCTGAGGCAAGCAGATCATGAGGTCGAGACATCGAGACCATCCTGGCCGACATGGTGAAACCCCATGTCTACTAAGAAACACAAAAATTAGCTAGGTGTGGTGGCGCACCCCTGTAGTTCCAGCTACTCAGCAGGCTGAGGCAGGAGAATCGCTTGAACTCAGGAGGTGGAGGCTGCAGTGAGCCAAGATTGCACCACTGCACTCCAGCCAGGCAACAGAGCAAGACTCTGTCTCAAAAAAAAAAATCTGTCTCAAAAAAAAATTCAAACATGGCTATACATCTTTGTTATTTTTACTCTACTCAATTCTTTCTGAAAACATTTACTATAATTATTAAGGAAATAAAGTGTGGAAGGATCATAGGGAAATACCTGCAATAAAATAAATAGTCGTTAGCATTGGCAACTGCCACTAGGAAGGCGTATACTCCACATACTACTGATAAAAATTGTAGGAACCCATTGGTGGTTCCCATAACCACCACTGATGTTGTGTTAATTCCCACATCAAAAACAAAGAACTAGTTCCATGAGCTGTCAATAATACTCTGAAGGCAACCTATTCATCAGCACCAGAATCCCACTGATTTTCTTCCACATGTTCACAATCTTTTGCCCTCAGTCATCCATCGTATTATACAACTGTTGTGGGAGTGTCAGGCTAACAAAAACCAAAACTGGGCATTGACATTAATGGTAGTTTATTGATGTTTCCCCTGCAAATCTCATATTTTCTGATAATAAAACTTTGCACAGATGTTGGATTTCAAAAGGCTAATTGTATGTTCTCTATCTGAAATCTTAAAATTACAGTACTTCTACGAAAAAAGATGTCTAGTAACATAAATTGCTTCTGCATCGGTTCCACAAACAAGACAAGGACCTAAAACATCCAAACTGTTCACAGACAGAGTCCTACTGGGAAGTAAGCTTGTGATTTCAATTCGGTCTTTTGCAGGATCAGTGCTGAGCCAGGAACTAATGACAGACTGGTGAACATTAGCTTGGTTACTAATGCTATGAGACAAAAACGCGCTGGTTCTTCCTCCTGGAAGAAAACAAGAAAAGAAAAAAATTTTAAGATGATTTTTATATTAGTAAACATGCAAACTTCTACTGATATTTAGACAGGTGATGATTTCAATGTGTTTAATTCTCAGAATAACAGGTTAATAATTCCATTATTATACAAAACCGTTTTTGACCAAAGGCTTATTCAGTGATATTAAATATTCAAATTTCCATGGGATAATATGGATACCAAACTTGAAGTCTTCAGGCAAAGCAGATGATTTCAACTGACTCTTTCTGTTAATCTTTTATTGGAAAGTCTCAGAAAGGTAGCAAAATGGCCAGCAGACAAGTTGAATAAAGAAAGAAAAAAAAAAGAAACCAAAAATGTAGGTAATATATGGAAATATAAACTCTTAGGTAATAAATGATCATGAAAAAGAATTTCTAGACACATATCTAGTTGAATATTTCTAGATTTATATTTCTAGGCCAGGCGTGGTGACTCACGCCTGTAATCCCAGCACTTTGGGAGGCCAAGGCGGGTGGATTGCCTGAGGTCAGGAGTTCGAGACCAGCCTGACCAACATGGATAAACACCGTCTCAAAAAAAAATATATATATATATTTCTAAATATATATTTGTTACTATATTTCTAAAAATATAATCGCCTTACTTCGGATCTTTTTTATGCTTTTTAGATAAATGTTCTTAAAAGTAAATAAGAACACTACTAGATTACAAGCTTTATCTCTAACAGAGCACTGCACTTAATATAGTGTAAAGTGAGGCAGGCAGAAGCAGTATATTTCCATTTTAGGCATTATTTACAACTTTCCTTTCAACTTGCTGTCTGTCATACCAAATAAGTACAAATTTAATTCACTCAGCAAATGACTGAGTACCTACTATGTGCCAGGCTCTGTGCTAAGTGCTCTGTGCAAAGTCCCCATGTCTTGAAGCTTAAAGATTAGTACATTTAAAATCTTGCTAATCCTTTAAAATGTGGCTCAACTTCCTTCTCTAAGAAAACTTTGAAGACAACCTCTAGTTCATGTTTTTCTTTTCTTTCCTTGAACCCTCAGCACTACTTTGTAACAATTCTTATAACCTAATTGAACTTTCCATGCCTCCATCCATGACTATGTCTTAAGAGCAGGTGGCATATTTCCTATTTGTTTTACTTTTTCACAGTGTCTAATATACTGTGCCTTGCAATAGTAGACACAGGATAAAGTTTTATTTCCAGTCTAACCAAGGTTCCTTAAAAGTAAACTTGCAAGTTCAAGACTGTGTGGTTAGCGGAGGAAGGAAATAAAAACCAAGTATATACTTAGTTAATCCTTAGATGAAGCTGTTCATTTCTCTGTAGATGAAGTTAGCATAGACATGCATGCATGTTCCACACATGCTCTCCACTCCAGAATTTTACTAGAGAAGTTTAAAAATTTTTCCCCTTAATTTTTCTATCTTTTACTATTCTTATATTTTACATTGCTCTTGGACACTGTAAAGATTAACATATTATTCAAGCCACTGTGATAAGACTCCTTTCCTCATCTATCTGCTTCCACTCTTCTCCTCCCCCATCCCACAGTCTAATGTCCTTATCATGGGCTACAAAGTCTCATGACTCCTCAGCCACCATCCCTTATCTCCCACCACTCTACCCTGCTGGCTGAGCTGCAACCATGGTGTCCTTGCTGTTCTCTGCCTGTCTCAGGCCCTCAGCATTTGCTGTTTCCTCTGCCTGGAATGCTTTCATGTCACTTACACCTTCACTTCTCCTAAGACTCTGCTCAAATGTTCCTTCTCTCAAATGGCCTCTCCTTGGACTCTCACTAGAGTAGTTCCCCTCACCTCTGTCTCTATTCTTTATCCTCCTACTCTGCTGTACTCTTCATGGTAATTAGCGGTGTATTTGGCCACGTTATTTTCCTTTTTCTTAATTTATTTTTTTGAGATGGAGTCTCGCTTTGTTGCCCAGGCTGGAGTGCAGTGGCACAATCTTGGCTCACTGTAACTGCTGCCTCCCAGGTTCAAGTGATTCTCCTGCCTCAGCCTCCCCAGTAGCTGAGATTACAGGCGCCCACCACCACGCCTGGCTAATTACTGTATTTTTAGTAGAGACAAGGTTTCACCGTGTTGGATGAGGATGGTCTTGAACTCCTGGCCTCAGGTGATCCACCCGCCTCGGCCTCCCAAAGTGCTGGGATTACAGGCGTGAGCCACCATGCCTGGCCTCCTTTTTCTTTTCAGTTTTCTTTCCCACTTTTCTGTGCTCCGCTATATACTGCAGGGGATAGAAGTCGGCAAACTCCACTTTCCAGGCTGCTTTACCATCTGCCATCAGTGGGCCTGCCAACGGGAGGTATTAATGGTGGGTGACTGGAAGGCAGAGGGAAGAAGCAGCTCCTTCCTGCTCCAGGTTTCTGGCAATAACATTGGTGGTAGTTCCAGTCTGGTTGAGGTAGTGCCTTTTCTGCTGATTCAGAACCAACTTTTTTTCGGAGACAAAGTCTCACTCTGTCACCAGGCTGGAGTGCAGTGGCGGGCTCAGCTCACTACAACCTCTGCCTCCCGGGTTCAAGCAATTCTCCTGCCTCAGCTTCCCGAGTAGCTGGGACTACAGGAGCCCACCACCATGCCCAGCTAATTTTTGTATTTTTAGTAGAGATGGGGTTTCATCATGTTGGCCAGGATGGTCTCAATCTCGACTTCGAGATTTGCCCACCTCAGCCTCCCAAAGTGCTAGGATTACAGGCGTGAGTCACTGTGCCCGATCCAGAACATTTACAGCATTTCCAACAGTGCAGCAGCAGGGGTACTAACAATTATTATTTCTGGGTGCTCTCTTTTCTTCCTATTTTTTCTCCCGGCACCCCTCCTATTCCCTTTTATTTTCCTAGCCCTTCTAACACATGTGAGACCACTTCCTTCTACCTCTAAGGTAGTTTCTGATACTCTGATTGGACTCTAATTATCTATTTTTTAACTGTCTGCTAGAATATTTGCTTTATGCGTTGACATTTTGTTCTGCTTACTGTTGTACACCCTAACACCTAGAAGAATGCCTACCACATGATAGGCATTCAGTAAATATTTCTGAATGAATAAGCAAACGAACTTTGGAACCATAGACAAACTCTCAGAAACAGGAAACTTGGAAAATGCAAAAACACACACACATCCTTGATTATAAGCATATGGGTTTTGGCTGACCATAAACTACCACTGACTATAATGAGGAGAGCAGGCCTTTTTTTTTTTCAGATGGAATCTTGCTCTGTCACCCAGGCTGAAGTACAGTGGTATGATCTCGGCTCACTGCAACCTCCACATCCTGGGTTCAAGCAATTCTCTGCCTCAGCCTCCTGAGCAGCTGGCACTACAGGTGCATGCCACCACACCCAGCTAATTTTTTGTATTTTTACTAGAGACAAGGTTTCACCATATTGGCCAGGCTGGTCTTGAACTCCTGACCTCATGATCCACCCTCCTCAGCCTCCTAAAGTGCTGGAATTACAGGTATGAGCCACTGCGCCTGGCTAAGATCAGGCCTTTTAACCTGAGAGGAAACCAGTATCTTCAGTTACATCAAATATCAACTTGCTTCTTGCCACTCACCCAAACTTGGTAATGCAATATAAAAGATTTGTCTGTGTCTGTGCTGGGGCATGAGGGTCCAGGTTAATGGCACTCACAAAGGAGAACGCTGGCTGTCTCAAGTGAGCCAGCTTACAGCATTTCTAGCCATCAGCAATACAGTAGTAAGTAACTTAACAGTCCGATTTCAAGCCCTGTTATATTCAAATTTACTCTGAGGTAAGAGAATAAAAATGTTTTGCCTTTAAGTAAAAAATACAATATGTCTAATTTGGTATTTAAAAGTATAATAAGGCCGGGTACAGCGGCTCCTGCTTATAACTGCAGCATCTCTGGTGGCCCAGGCAGGAGGATTGCTTGAGCTCAGGAGTTTGAGACCAGCCTGGGTAGGATAGTGAGACCTTGTCTCTACAAAAAAAATAAAAAATAAAAAATAAATTAGCTGGTTGTGGTGGCATGTACCTTTGCTCTCAGCTGTTTGGGAGGCTGAGGCAGGAGGATCACTTGAGCTTGGGAGGGTGAGGCTGTAGCAAGCCATGATTATGCCGCTGCAGTCCAGCCTGGATGTCAGAGTAAGACGCTGTCTCAAACAAAACAAAAGTATGAGGCCAGGCGCAGTGTCTCACACCTGTAATCCCAGCACTTTGGGAGGCCGAAGTGGGCAAATCACAAGGTCAGGAGTTCAAGACCAGTCTGGTCAACATGGTGAAACCCCATCTCTACTAAAAATACAAAAAATTAGAAAGAAAAAAAAAAAAAAAGAAAAACTTTGCTGGGTGTAGTGGTGGGTTCCTGTAATCCCAGCTACTCGGGAGGCTGAGGCAGGAGAATCACATGAACCCAGGAGGTGGAGGTTACAGTGAGCCAAGACAATGCCACTGCACTCCAGCCTGGGCAGCAGAGCGAGAGTCTGTCTCAAAAAAAAAAAAGTTTAACAAAATTACTCATAACAGGCTGGGCACAGTGGCTCACACCTATAATCTCAGCACTTTGGGGAGGCTGAGGTGGGCAGATCGCTGAGGCCAGGAGTTTGAGACCAGTCTGGCCAACATAACAAAACCCCATCTCTACTAAAAATACAAAAAAAATTAGCCAGGTATGGTGGCACACACCTGTAATCCCAGCTACTAGGGAAACCGAGGCACGAGAAAAGTTTGAACTCAAGAGGCAGAGGTTGCAGTGAGCCGAGATTGCGCCACTGCACTCCAGCCTGGGTGACTAAGACTTTTTCTCAAAAAAGAAAAAAAAGGCCAGGCACTGTGGCTCCTGTAATCCTAGCACTTTGGGAGGCTGAGGCGGGCAGATCATTTGAGGTCAGGAGTTTGAGACCAGCCTGGCCAACACAGTGAAACCCCATCACTACTAAAAATACAAAAAAATTAGCTGGGCATGGTGGCCCACGCCTGTAGCCCCCAGCTACTCGGGAAGCTGAGGCATGAGAATTGCTTGAATCCAGGAGGTGGAGGTTGCAGTGAGCTGAGATTGTGCCGCTACACTCCAACCTGGGCAACAAAGCGAGACTCTATCTTAAACAACAAAAAAAATTAAACATAGCAATATTCATTAAAAAGTTTTACCTTGATGAAAGAGTAACGACTTTTCAGGTACATCTGTGGAGGCATCCCAATGCCAGAGGGATCCATCTTCAGAGCAGGTAAACAGATGATCTGGGTTGGATGGGTGAAAGTGAACTTCCCACACTAAGAGATAAAAACCAAGGAGCTCATTTCTGTGCAGATTCACTGAACAAACAACATTAACCCCCATCTCTAGGCACCATCTTCTATTATCCTCCATCACATACCTTCAAGCCTCAAGTCTATCATAAAAATTAAAGGCTTCAGAATTAAAGAAAAGACATAACTCTCCAATGGCTATAACATGTAGAAAGGAAAAAGAACACTTTGGGAGGCTGAGGTTGGTGGATCACCAGAGGTCAGGACCAGCCTGGGCAACATAGTGAAACCCTGTCTCTACTAAAAATACAAAAATTAGCCAGTCTTGGTGGCACATGCTTGTAGTCCCAGCTACTTGGGAAGTTGAGACAGGAGAATCACTTGAACTCAGGAGCTGGAGGTTGCAGTGAGCCAAGCCTGCAAAACTGCACTCCAGCCTGGTCAACAGAGTAAGACTGTCTGGAAGAAAAAAAAGAAAAGGAAAAAGAAGCCATATAAATTTGTGTACTGGGCAAGGAAATAAATGAAAATATTGCTAAAACATTTAACCTATTACATTTTTTTATGAAAAAGGTGTGTTATTTTTTTTTTTTTTAAATAGAGACAGGGCTTTGCTATGTTGTCTACCTTGGTCTTCTACTCCTGGCCTTAAGCAATCCTTCTTCCTCAACCTCCCTAAGTGCTGGGATTACAGGTGTGTGCCTGGCTAGGAATGACTATTTTTTAAGGAAAAGTTTTTTTTTTTTCTTTTAAGATGTAGTCTCACTCAGTTGCCCAGGTTGGAGTACAGTGGTGCGATCTTGGCTAACTGCAACCTCCTACTGGGTTCAAGTGATTCTCCTAACTTAGCATCCCAGTAGCTGGGAATACAGGTGCCTGCCACCATGCCCGGCTATTTTTGAATTTTTAGTAGAGACAGGATTTAACTATGTTGGCCAGGCTGGTCTCAAACCCCTGGCCTCAAATGATTCACCTGCCTTGGCCTCCCAAAGTGCTGGGATTATAGGCATGAGCCACTGAGCCAGGATGGAAAAGTTTTTTTTTAATTGGTAAGTTGTCATATTTTTCAACTCCTGTGTCATTAATATATGAAGATTGTATCATTGGAAAGACTGAGAAAGACCCTAATAGAAAAATAAAAATGATTTCTAAGAGGCAATATCCAATATTGGTTAATGCCAAGATTCTGAATACTTCTGGTCTCTATTATAGGAATAGCAACTGACTTCTTACAAACAAAAGTTTGGAAATGTTCCAAAAATTTGAATCCAGTTTCAGATGGAGGGATTTTTATTTTTTATTTGCTGATTATTTATCAAGAGAAACTATTTCTTAGCCCACATATTTATGCTTCATACTTTAGGAACACAGATCAGTGACAAACTTCTACATAATTCAACGCAAAGAATTTCTCTATTATTTTGAAACCGTCTTGCTCTGGCTCCCAGGCTGGAGTGCAGGGTGGCATGGTCACAGCTCACTGCAGCCTTGACCTCTCAGGCTTAAGCAATCTGCCTATCTCAGCCTCCCAAGTAGCTAGGACTACAGGCATGCGTCACCATACCCAGCTAATTTTTGTTTTGTTTTGTTTTGTTTTATTCTTGAGATGGAGTCTCTTTCTGTCGCCAGGCTGGAGTGCAGTGGCGCAATTTTGGTTCACTGCAACCTCCACCTCCCAGGGTCAAGTGATTCTCCTGCCTCAGCCTCCCGAACAGCTGTGACTACAGATGTGCGCCATCACACCCAGCTAATTTTTGTATTTTTAGTAGAGATGGGGTTCCATCATGTTGGCCAGGATGGTCTCGATCTCCTGACCTCATGGTCTGCCTGTCTTGGCCTCCCAAAGTGCTGGGATTACAGGTGTGAGTCATTGAGCCTGGCTAATTTTTGTATTATTTATTTATTTATTTATTGAGATGGAGTCTTGCTCTGTTGCCCAGGCTGGCGTGCAGTGGCACAATCTTGGCACATTGCAACCTCTACCTCCTAGGTTCAAGCAATTCTCCTGTCTCAGCCTCCCAAGCAGTTGAGACTACAGGCATGTGCCACCATGCCCAGCTAATTTTTGTATTTTTAGTAGAGATGGAGTTTCACTATGTTGGCCAGGCTGGTCTCGAACTCCTGACCTCATGATCCACTCACCTTGGCTTCCCAAAGTGCTGGGATTACAGGTGTGAGCCACTGTGCCTGGCCTAAATTTTTTATTTTTAACAGAGACAGAGTTTCTCCATGTTGCTCAAGTTGGTCACAAATTCCTGGGCTCAAGTGATCTGCCTGCCTTGAACTCCCAAAGTGCTAGAATTACAAGCATAAACTACTGTGCCCAGTCCCAAAGAAACTGTATGTATTCCAAAATCACACTGCATTCTGAAAGATATCAGCCTCCCTCATTTCCTCAAAATCTTTTATGGAATCATAATTTCTCTTCTTTTCTTTTTTTTTTTTTTTTTGAGATGGAGTCTTGCTCTGTCGCCAGGCTGGAGTGCAATGGCGTGATTTCGGCTCATGGCAACCTCTGCCTCCTGGGTTCAAGCAATTCTCCTGCCTCAGCCTCCTGACTGGCACTACAGGTATGCACTACCACACCCAGCTAATTTTTGTTTTTGTTTTTTTTTTAAAGATGGGGTTTCACCATGTTGGTCAGGCTGGTCTTGAACTCCCGACCTCAGGTGATCCACCCGCCTTGGCTTCCAAAGTGCTTGGATTACAGGCATGAGCCACCACACCTGGCTAATTTTCGTATTTTTAGTAGAGACGAGGTTTCTCCATGTTGGCCAGTATGGTCCTGATCTCTTGACCTCGTGATCTGTCCACCTCGGCCTCCCAAAGTGCTGGAATTACAGGCGTGAGCCACCGTGCCTGGACTCTTTTTTTGAATCATAATTTCTATAGAATTATAATAATAAAAAAAATTAGCCAGATGTAGTGGCACATATCTGCAGTCCCAGATACTCAGAAGGGCAAGGCAGGATCATTTGACCCCAGGAAAGTTGAGGCTGAAATGAGGTACCATGTCACTGCACTCCAGCGTGGGCAACATAGGGAGACTGTCTCTATAAAAAATAAAAAATTAGCTGGGTGTGGTGGTGCACGCCTGCAGCCTCAGCTACTTGGGAGGCTGAGGTGGGAAGATTTATTGAGCCAGGGAGGCGAGGCTGAGGCTGCAGTGGGCTGTGATCCACTGCACTTCCACCTGGGTGACAGAGACACTGTTTAAAAAAAAAAGTTTATCTCTGGGTGTGGTAGCTCACGCTTGTAATCTCAGCACTTTGGGATGCCAAGGCAGGCAGATCACCTGAAGTCAGAAGTTGGAGACCAGCCTGGCTAATGTGGTGAAACCCCATTTCTACTAAAAATATAAAAATCAGCCAGGGGGCACATGCCTGTAGTCCCAGCTACTAGGGAGGCTGAGGCAGGAGACTGGCTTGAACCTGGGAAGCGGAGGTTGCAGTTAGCTGAGATCACATCACTACACTCCAGCCTGGGCAACAGAGTGAGACTCCATCTCAAAAAAAAAAAAAAAGTATAATCCATTCTGGCATGATATCAAAGACAGAGCGATAAAATGAAAAATTTCTGTCCAGTCAAATCATCTCCACCAGAATCAAAAGGCGGAAAAAAGAAAAGCTTATAAATCTATGGTTCATATAAAAAAAAAAAGATGCAACAATAAATTGAGGAGCACAGCATTCATTAGCAAATATGACAAATAGCCTGCATTTGCATGTGAAAAGGGCATTCCTGCACACTTAACTATGGCAATATAAAATGGCATGATTTTTGTTACCTTTTTTTTTTTAGGGGGGTGGGGTCTCACTGTATTGTCCAGGCTGGAGTGCACAGATGCAATAAAAATATACTATAGCCTGAATTCCTGGACTCAAGCAATTCTCCTGCCTTGGCCTCCTGAGAAGCTGGTGCATGCCACCCCACCTGGCTTAAATTAGTATTATTAGCTTTTTAAAAAGGTTATGTTGCCTAAGCTGACCTCAAACTCTTGGGCTGAAACAATCTTCCCGCCTCAGGCTTCTGAGTAGCTAGAACTACAGGTATGTGCCAATGTGCCTGGCTTAAACAGGTATTATTTTATTTTATTTTTTTTTTTGAGACGGAGTTTCGCTCTTGTTACCCAGGCTGGACTGCAATGGCGCGATCTCGGCTCACTGCAACCTCCATCTCCTGGGTTCAGGCAATTCTCCTGCCTCAGCCTCCTGAGTAGCTGGGATTACAGGCACACACCACCATGCCCAGCTAATTTTTTGTATTTTTAGTAGAGATGGGGTTTCACCATGTTGACCAGGATGGTCTCGATCTCTTGACCTCGTGATCCACCTGCCTTGGCCTCCCAAAGTGCTGGGATTACAGGTGTGAGCCACCGCGCCCGGCCAACAGGTATTATTTTTGTGTAGAATACTCTTGTCAATGGATTATGCAAAATGTTTGACCTATCAACTCTACTTCTAAAGAATTATCCTAAGAAAATAAGTAGGCCGGGTGCAATGGCTCATGCCTGTGATCCCAGAACTTTGGGAGGCTGAAGCAGGTGGATCACGAGGTCAGGAGTTCAAGACCAGCCTGACCAATATGGTGAAACCCCGTCTCTACTAAAAATACAAAAAATTAGCTAGGCCCACAGTGGCATACATCTGTAACCCCAGCTGCTTGGGAGGCTGAGACAGGAGAATTGCTTGAACCAGGAGGTGGAGGGTGCAGTGAGCTGAGATTGCGCCACTGCACTCTAGCCTGTGCGACAGAGCAAGACTCTGTCTCAAAAAAAAAAAAAAAAAAAAAAAAAAAAAAAAAAAAAAAAAAAGCTGGGCGCAGTGGCTTACGCCTGTAATCCCAGCACTTTGGGAGGCCGAGGCGGGTGGATCACAAGGTCAAGAGATCGAGACCATCCTGGTCAACACAGTGAAACCCGTCTCTACTAAAAATACAAAAAATTAGCTGGGCATGGTGGCGCATGCCTGTAATCCCAGCTACTCAGGAGGCCGAGGCAGGAGAATTGCCTGAACCCAGGAGGTGGAGGTTACGGTGAGCCCAGACCACGTCATTGCACTCCAGCCTGGGTAACAAGAGCGAAACTCCGTCTCAAGAAAAGAAGCACATAAGGCTGGGCATAATGGCTCATACCTGTAATCCTGGCACATTGGAAGGATCGTATAAGTCAAGGAGTTCAAGGCTGCAATGAGCTATGATCACACCACTACGATACTCCGGCCTGGGTGACAGAGACAGACCCTGTCTCAAAAAAAAAAAAAAAAAGGTACATAAATATCTAAGAATTCTTAGTACAGTTTTGGATATAAGACTGAAACCTGTGGCTGGTATGGTGGCTCATAGCTTACACCTGTAATCTCAGTACTTCCTGAGGATCACTTGAGCCCAGGAGTTTGAAACCAGTCTAGGCAATAAAGCAAAACCCCATATCCACAAACAAACAAACAACAACAACAAAAATCAACTAGGCATGGTGGCACACACCTATAGTCCTATCTACTTGGGAGGCTGATATGGGTGGATCACCTGAGCCCTGGAGGTCAAGGGTGTAGTGAGCCGTGACTGCACCACTGCACTCCAGCCTGGGCAACAGATTCAGACGCTGTCCCTTAAAAAAAAAAAAAAAAAAAAAAAAAGGCCAGGCGCAGTGGCTAATGCCTGTAATCCCAACACTTTGGGAGGCTGAGGTGGGCAGATCATCTGAGGTCAGGAGTTTGAGACCAGCCTGACCAATATGGAGAAAACCCATCTCTATTAAAAATTCAAAATTAGCCGGGTGTGATGGCACATGCCTGAAATCCCACCTACTCGGGGAGGCTGAGGCAGGAGAACTGCTTGAACCTGGGAGGCTGAGGCTGTGGTGAGCAGAGATGGTGCCATTGCACTCCAGCATGGACAAGAGTAAAACTCTTGTCTCAAAAAAAAAAGAAACATGTTAAAGAACTTAAATGTCAAGTAAAAAGAGATTAGATAATTATTTAAATTAAAAGCTATCATGTAAAATGATCCATGTGTGCCATTATGAAAAGGTGCTTATTATATGTCATATAACTCGCCCAATAAAAACTTTCTGTATCTCCACAATACTTACTTTCAGCTTCATGAGCCTTCAGCAGAGATACAGGCATAGTACCTTGTCTAACATCCCAAATACTCAACATTCCATCTTGGCCACCAGTAGCTACAACATGCTGTTGGTTGGGATGTCTATCAACGCAGTGGAGTGGCACTCGGTCCCCAGTCCTTTTGCGGGAGATAACATTGACATCAAAATCAGATAAAGTATAATTTATCTTTGTGTAACACAAGAAACATGTTTTTTTTGTTGTTGTTGTCATTTTCGAGACAGGGTCTCACTCTGCTACCCAGGCTGGATTGTGGCACTGCAATCGAGGCTCACTGCAGGCTCGAACTCCCTGGGCTCAGGTGATCCTCCCACGTCAGCCTCCTCCTGAGTAGCTGGGATTACTTGTGTGCACCATCACGCCTGATTAACTTTTTGTAGTTTTGTAGAGATGGGGTTTCTCCATGTTGCCCAGGTTGATCTTGAACTCCCAGCCTCAAGCGACCTAGCCACCTTGGCCTCCCAAAGTGCTGGGATGACCAGCATGAGACACTGTGCCCAGCCTGGATTTTTCTTTTTTTAGAGAAAGGGTCTTGACCAGGCTTAGTGGCTCATGCCTGAAATCCTAGCACTTTGGGAGGCCAAGGCAGGTGGATCACTTGCGGTCAGGAGTTCAAAACCAATCTGGCCAACATGGTGAAACCCCATCTCTACTAAAAATACAAAAACTAGCCAGGCATGGTTCGTTTTTGTAGAGACAGGGGTCTCGCTATGTTGCCCCAGCTGATCTCAAACTTCTCACCGCAGGTGATCCTCCCAAAGTGTTGGGATTACAGGCGTGAGTCACCATGTTCAGCCAAGAAACATGTTCTATATGGTAACTAAACAACAACTTAGTGGCTGGAGCTACTGGCTGAATATTTTTTTAAAATTTGAGACCGAGTTTCATTCTTTTTGCCCAGGCTGGAGTGCAATGGCACGATCTTGGCTCACTGCAAACTCTGCCTCCCTGGTTCAAGTGATTCTCCTGCCTCAGCCCCCCAAGTAGGTGGGATTATAGGCACATGCCATCATGCCTGGCTAATTTTTGTATTTTTAGAAGAGACGGGGTTTCACCATGTTGGCTAGGCTGGTCTCAAACTCCTCCTCAAGTGATCCGCCTGCCTTGGCCTCAGAAAGTGCTGGGATTGGGCCGGGCGCAGTGGCTCAAGCCTGTAATCCCAGCGCTTTGGGAGGCCGAGGCGGGTGGATCACGAGGTCAAGAGATCGAGACCATCCTGGTCAACACAGTGAAACCCCGTCTCTACTAAAAATACAAAAAATCAGCTGGGCATGGTGGCGCGTGCCTGTAATCCCAGCTACTCAGGAGGCTGAGACAGGAGAATTGCCTGAACCCAGGAGACGGAGGTTGCGGTGAGCCGAGATCGCGCCATTGCACTCCAGCCTGGGCAACAAGAGCGAAACTCCGTCTCAAAAAAAAAAAAAAAAAAAAAAAAGAAAGTGCTGGGATTACAGGTGTGAACCACCACGCCGGGCCTGGCTAAATCTTAATGATGCCAAAAAATGAACTAAATTAGATATATTTCCAAATAGTACAATTTTGAAAAAATTCAAGGCCACAATTATTCATTCTCACTTCAATATGGACACATGAATGAAGGGTAATCTGATGGTAAGATGTACAAATCACATTTCCACTTCTTAGTTTTTTATTTATTTTTTTTTAAAGATGGGGTTTCTCTATGATGGCCAGGCTGGTCTTGAACTCCTGACCTCAGGTGATCCACCCACCTCAGCCTCCCAAACTGCTAGGATTACAGGTGTGAACCACCATGCTCGGCACTTCTTAGATTTTTTAAAAAAATCATATATCAACTGTACTAAATATTATTTATCATCTTATTTAATGCTTAGTTTTTGTAACTATTTTTTCAGTGTGACACATTCTATTTTCTTATGAGAAAAGGTTGTACACCTAAAAGGGGAGATTTCTGCTTAGAAAAAAAATCTGGAATTATATTTTTCCCCTAATCATTATATCTGGAATATATTTTATCCATTAAACAATCATTGAAAGAGCAGAAATAAGTTCTCCACAAAATAATACAGACTTCAAAGAGTAAAGGTTCTGAGTCACTATAACAAACAATTACTAAATGAAAGTAGTGTCAACCCCATCAAGTTATGCTTTCTCTACCAAATTTAATCAGGGATCACCCTCTTAAAATGTAATTAAAATACAATATAGCTTAAAGCCAATTGCTATAAACAACCGAACGCATTAATTTTGGATTACATTACTGAAATTACAAATCAATACTTACAGTGACAATATCTGAGAAGGCTCATTTCCTTGTTGTCTGAAATCCCATATTTTCAACTGTCCAATTGAATTCACAGTAAGAATCTCAGGAGTTCGAAGAAAGGTTACAGCATGGAGTGTACTACTATCTGCATTGTCTAAAAATTTTAAAAAATCGTAATATGTGTTAATGAGTTCCTTTTTTCCAAGAAAATCTTAAATCACACTCCTTTCATGGATTGCTATATTACAAATACAATTTCCAGTAACTCATAATTTAAATTTCTATAGAAAAGTGCACGGTAATGTACGTTTAAACGGATTCTCTTTGGATGGAAAAATATTACAGGACACCTGAACTGTTTTGTTTTTCTTTTTATTTTTTTGAGATGGATATTGTCGTGTCACCCAGGCTGGAGGGCACTGGTGTGGTCTTGGCTTACTGCAACCTCTACCTACCTCCCGGGTTCAAGTGATTCTCGTGCCTCGGCCTCCCTAGTAGCTGGGATTACAGGCACACACCACAACGCCTGGCTAATTTTTGTATTTTTAGTAGAGACAGGATTTCATCACATTGGCCAGGCTGGTCTCGAACTCCTGAGCTCAGGTGATCCACCCACCTCGGCCTCCCAAAGTGCTGGGTTTACAGGCGTGAGGCACCGAGCCCACCCTTGAACTGTTTTCGAAATGGAAGGCTGAGTTTTCATACATTCTTTTTTAACTCTTAAGATTGTTACCCTGCATTTCTGAGAGAGTTGTTCAAGCTCCCCTAAACACAATCTTATTTCCCACTAGTTCCTGACCTAGAACTTCCCTTCTATTGGGCCAAACCCCAGTGCTTTCTACAGAGCTCATGCCAACCTTGTATTATTCTGCAGACTCATCCGAAATCTACTTATTTTCATCCTCATCAACTCTCGCCCTCTCTATGAAGTCATTCCTGATTGTTATAATGGTCCTTTTGTTGATTTCCTGGTGTTTAGAACTTATGCCTCATAATTTAACATATACTTTACAGACTTTAGTTTGTGCCATTCCTCTACACTGGCACCAGACAACAGTCATTAATTAACAAATAAGTGATGTTGCCCAGTGCAGTGGCTCACGCCTGTAATCCTAACACTTTGGGAAGCGAAGGCAGGTGATTCACTTGAGCCCAGGAGTTTGAGACCAGCCTGGACAGCATGGTAAAACCTCATTTCTACAAAAATTAGCCTGGCATGGTGGTATGCATCTGTGGTCCCAGATTCTTGGGAGGCTGAGGCAGGAGGATTGCTTGAACCTGGTAGGCAGAGGTTGCAGTGAGCTGGGATCATGCCACTGCGCTCCAGCCTGGGTGACAAAGCAAGACCTTGTCACAAAAAAAAAAAAAAAAAAAAAGTAATGCAATTAAACTCAGAACTGAAAACCATAATAAACAACACAAAAGGCTGGGCACGGTGGCTCACACCTGTAATCCCAGCACTTTGGGAGGCCAAGGTGGGCAGAGTACATGGTCAAGAGATTGAAACCATCCTGGCCAACATGGTGAAAGCCCATCTCTACCAAATATACAAAAATTAGCTGGGAGTGATGGTGGGTGCCTGTAGTCCCAGCTACTCGGGAGGCTCAGGCAGGAGAATTGCTTGAACCTGTGAGGCGGAGGTGGCAGTGAGCCAAGATCATGCCACTGCACTCCAGCCTGATGACAGACTGAGACTCCGTCTAAAAAGTAAATAAATAAATAAAACAAAACAAAAAATGGACTAATGGGCTCAATTCCTAGCGATTCTGATTCAAGAGGTCTAGAGTGGTGGACAGTTAAAACTTCTTCAGGCAAGTCTTACTGAAGCATAGTTGAGAACCAATACACTGAGTTTGCCACCTAAAAGATGTAATCTCTGTGATTTTGCATTATAGACTCCTTGCAATCTGGCCCGTTTACCCTTCCCTTGCTTCGTCTTTCATCTCTCCTGCATAAATATCTAAAGTCGGGTCAAACTATACTTTTTGTCATTCTCTGAAGGTCTTTATTCTGCCTCTGGCCTATTCCCTTTGTCTAGCATGCCATCTTTTAGTATTACTTATGGTCTAGAACCTAGAAAAAACTATTAATTACTACCTTTTCCCAGATGCTTTATCTGATAATCCCCTCTGGCCAAAGAAAAAAAAAAGGTTTCTGTCTCCTCTAGTCAGTCATTTGTACTGGCCTCATCAATATACTGTCTTGACAAAAGAATCCTGGGGTGAGGGGGGGGGTGTGTGTGCGCGCGCGCGCACGCGCACATTTATATATATATATTTTTGAGACACAGTCTTGCTGTCACCCAGGCAGGAATGCTGTAGTGTGATACTGGCTCACTAAAGCCTCTGCCTCCTAGGTTCAAGCAATTCTCATGCTTCAGCCTTCCGAGCTGAAGGGATTATAGGCGGGTGCCACCATTGCCAGTTAATTTTTGTATTTTTAGTAGAGACAGGATTTCGCCATGTTGGCCAGGCTAGTCTTGAACTCGTGGCCTCAAATGATCTGCTTGTCTTGACTTCCTGAAGTGCTGGGATTATAGGCATGAGCCACTGCACCAGTCCATGTATTTTTATATCCCTCAATCATTTAACATTGTGTTTACTTTTGAGACAGGGTCTTGCTCTGTTGCCAGGCTGGAGTGCAGTGGTGTGATCTCAGTTCACTGCAACGTCTGCCTCCTGGGTTCAAGCAATTCTCCTGCCTCAGCCTCCCCAGTAGCTGAGACTACAGGTGCGCACCACCATGCCCAGCTAGGTTTTGTATTGTTGGTAGAGACGGGCTTTCACCATGTGGCCAGGGTGGTCTGGATCTCTTGACCTCGTGATCCACGCTGCCTGACTGTATTTACTTAGTACATCATAAGTACTCAATTACTCTGTGAGAGATGAAAGAAATAAAATGATTTTTCTTTTTTTGAGATGGAGTCTCCTTCTGTTTCCCAGGTAGGAATGTGGCAGTGCCATCTCAGCTCACTGCAACCTCAGCCTCTCAGGTTCAAACAATTCTCCTGTCTTGGCCTTCTGAGTACCTGGGATTACAGGCATGTACTACCACACCCAGCTAACTTTCGTATTTTTAGTAGAGATGGTTTCACCATGTTGGCCAGGCTGGGATTCTTCTTACCTATGGTTCTTACAGCTTCCTTGTGATCAGCTCTGAAGAGATTTATTCGACCATCCTCTCCAACTGTAACAATTTCTGGGTTGTTACACACAATACCTGTACATGGTGCACTGCTATAGGAAGGACTGCCGGGGCCTGTGTGGTAGTGAGCTGTAGTCCATTGCTGGTTGACTGACAGAGTCTAGACATCAGAAATGAGGATACTATTAAAGAAAGTTTAAGGAACTAGCCCTTCTTCCCAACAGGAGTATCTTTAAATTCTGACTCACACCCTTCTAGAAGAATAAATCTCTCTTTTTTCCTTTAGAGTAATGAAATCTAGAAACTACTTCTATCAAAGTTCTGTATACTGAGGTTGGGCACAGTGGCTCATGCCTGTAAACCCAGCACTTTGGGAGGCCAAGGTGGGCGTATCACCTGAGGTCAGGAGTTCGGGACCAGCCTGACCAACATGAAGAAACCTTGTCTCTAAAAAAATAAATAAATAAATAAAATAAAGAAGTTCTGTATACTGAATTAAATTCAAAAGGAATATTGTTTAATAATGCCCCACAGACTGGGCGCAGTGGCTCAAGCCTGTAATCCCAGCACTTTGGGAGGCCAAGGCGGGTGGATCACAAGGTCAAGAGATTGAGACCACCCTGGTCAACATGGTGAAACCCCGTCTCTACTAAAAATACAAAACATTTGCTGGGCATGGTGGCGCGTGCCTGTAATCCCAGCTACTCAGGAGGTTGAGGCAGGAGAATTGCCTGAACCCAGGAGGCGGAGGTTGCGGTGAGCCGAGATTGCGCCATTGCACTCCAGCCTGGGTAACAAGAGGGAAACTCCGTCTCAAAAAAAAAAATAATGCCCCACAGTTACCTCAAACTACAGTAATGACATCATTTAGGGATCAAGCAGTTGGATGTTCAAAAGCAACTGTTTATATTCTTATGGGAATGAACCTACATCTAAAATATAAATCTCTGGTCCACCACTGTGGCTCATGCCTATAATCCCAGCACTTTGGGTGGCAGGTGGATTACCTGAGGTCAGGACTTTGAGACCAGCCTGGCCAACATGGCAAAATCCCATCTCTACTAAAAATACAAAAATTAGCCAGGTGTGGTGGCACCTGCCTGTAATCCCAGCTACTTGGGAGGCTAAGTTGGGAGAATAACTTGAACCAGGAAGCGCAGGTTGCAGTGAGCGGACATCACGTTACTGCACTCCAGCCTGGGTGACAGAGAGAGACTCTGTCTCAAAAATAAATAAATAAATAAATAGAATAAAACATAAAGCTCTTATCGGTTTTTGTAAATGACTCAAAAAAACACTTAACATGAACTGGGTCTTGATATTTACTAGGCATGTCTATTAGAAAGGTTACCTTTGGCTGGGCGTGGTGGCTCACACCTGTAGTCCCAGTACTTTGGGAGGCCAAGACAGGCGGATCACCTGAGGTCGGGAGTTCAAGACCAGCCTAACCAACATGGAGAAACGCCGTCTCTACTAAAAATACAAAATTAGCCGGGCACAGTGGCGCATCCTTGTAATCCCAGCTACTGGGGAGGCTGAGGCAGGAAAATTGCTTGAACCCAGGAGGTGGAGATTGTGGTAAGCCGAGATCATGCCACTGCACTCCAGCCTGGGCAACAAGAGCAAAACTCCGTCTCAAAAAAAATTCACTTTTCTATTTTATTATTTTTTTTTTTCCTTTTTTTTTTTTTCCCTAGAAAACAATATTCTATCAAAAAAAATTCACTTTTCAAACTAAAGTTCTTTACCTGGTTATTTGGATGGTGAAGGAAAACTGTTACACATCCTGTTGATGAAGCAGTGACAATTCTTTCCTGGTCAAAAAACTAAAGAGAAAATTTCTGCTTGCTGAAGATTCAGAAAAATTAGTAGGGAGGAAGTCCATTTGTTTATTTAACTTGATTAGTAGTAAAACTTGCAACAATTTTGAAAAGTGAAGTCTATGAGTGCTAAGCAAATAAATAAAATGTGTTAATGGAGCTGAAAGTCCAAACTGCCATACAAATAAGAGTATTTTCTTTATTTTTATTTTTACTTTTTTTAGTAGTGATCAAAAATAAGAGTATTTTCATAAATAAACAATATTTTTAGGCCGGGCGCAGTGGCTCAAGCCTGTAATCCCAGCACTTTGGGAGGCCGAGGCGGGTGGATCACGAGGTCAAGAGATGGAGACCATCCTGGTCAACATGGTGAAACCCCGTCTCTACTAAAAATACAAAAAATTAGCTGGGCATGGTGGTGCGTGCCTGTAATCCCAGCTACTCAGGAGGCTGAGGCAGGAGAATTGCCTGAACCCAGGAGGCGGAGGTTGCGGTGAGCCGAGATCGCGCCATTGCACTCCAGCCTGGGTAACATGAGCGAAACTCCGTCTCCAAAAAAAAAAAAAAAAAAACCAATATTTTTTTTCTAAATACATTCACTTACAATTGATTTAATTTGAGACCAACACAATAAAACCTTTCAGAGATTACAGGCTCTCCCAGCACTTTGGGGGGCCTACGTGGACCGATTGCTTAAGCTCAGGAGTTCAAGACCAGCTTGGGCAATATGGTGAGACCCTGTCTCCACAATAATACAAAAATGAGTTGAGCTTGTGGGGAGGCAGAGGTTGCAGTGAGCCAAGATCAAGCCACTGCATTCCAGCCTGGTTGACAGGGTGAGACTCAGTTTCAAAAAAAGAATAAAAATTTTAAAAAAGAAAATATCTTTCCTAGGGCTAGGTAGCTTTCTGGAGAATAAAATGCAGGGACTCTCCACATCAGGATTTGAAAACTTAATTTCATCCCCACCACTCACTACTGGTTTTGAGACTTTGGCCAAGTTAAGCTCTCTAAATCGTGGTAAATCTTTAAAACGGGAGTACTAATTTCTACTTAGGGAATTGTTATGAGAATTCAAAAAACAAAATGATGTAAAACCCCCTGCACAGTATCTGTCACATAGAACATGCTCAAGATATACTAGTCTCAATTTTCTCATTAGTAAAACAAAGATAACGATACTTGATTCACCGGCATGCAACAATAAATTAACTTTTGTAAAGCTCCCAAAACGGTACTTAGCACATAGCCGATGGTCAATTAATAAAAAGTATGATTAAATCTGTATCCCCTTTCGCCGTCCTTTTTCTGCCACTAAATGACTAAATGACGTCAGGCAAATTCTAACTTATGGGGCACTCAGTTTTCTGTAAACCAGACAACCTCTACGATCCTCTGCTTGTTTACATGTATTACTCAGTACTTTCAAATTTAGTTTCTGCATACTACAAACATTTACCTGTAAATCCATTATATCACCATGGTGTCTGATATCACACAATAACTGATGGTCTCCTTCAAACCCTCCATCAGAGTCCAAGTTTCCAAAATCTCCAATAGACCACAGTGCAACATAATTTTCCTGTAAAACAAAGAGTTTTGTCTTGAGATGACATAAACGTCATCTCTCGGAAAACAAAAGTTGACCTGCTGTCAGAAAATCTTGCTCCAAAACATTTCAAACAAATGGTATGGTGAGTTTAAAACGCAATGAGATACAAGGCTCAGGCACACCGGCACCGGCTCTGAACTATGGGGTAACCGCGTCTGAGACAGGGGTCCCGGGGACCTAGAATTGCGAGAAGAACCAGAAGGTGGGAATTGGCGCGCGGGCGGACAGGGGTGCAGCTCAACCGGAGAAAGGGAGGAGGAGGTAGGGGCTCCTTATCAGCAGGGATACCTCATTGTCCCAAGATCCCGTAGCGAACGTTTCTGCGGTCTGCAAACTTCCCGGAGGCAGCGGTCGCCAGCGGGTTTTGCTGATTTTCTGAGACACAAACTTCGCATAAATTTCCTCCATGCCGAAAGCAAACGCAGCAGGTACTGCGAGAAGCAAGCACAATGCGCGCCTCTCAGCCCCGCCTCTTCCCGCGGAGCTCTGATTGGATGGGACTATAGGAGGGAAACGGTGGCTGCAGAGAGTCAATTCTCATCGGCAGCCAGTGTGGGAATAGCCAGCATTGCGAATTGGGAGAACATAGCCTGAGAGACCCATCTCATAAAGCAGCTCTGAACAAAGGCAAGAGCGCTTTGGCCTTTGAGCAGTAGGACTTGCTGCTAATCTGCAATATCAGTATTTTCTTGTGTTCAGTAATTGTTCAGTGTAAAATTTAAGAACAAAAATAGAAAAAAATCAATGCAGTAGAAAAAAATCAATGCAGTAGAAACCACACCTAAGCAGTTGCAGATCACTGCGCAAAGAAAACGATTCAAAAGTCCTTACGCATGTAAGTACCTCGAATAAAGTGCCAACGTACTATCCTAAATCTCTCCCTATAGTTTCTCAAACAAATACTTTGCTTCAAAGTTAATACACACTGTCAAAGCCTGGAGTTGGAATTCTGAAGACTCCAGTTTTAGCTTTTTTTTTCTTTTTTTAAGGCGAGGTTTCACCATGTTGGTCAGGCTGGTCTTGAACTCCCGACCTCAGGTGATCCACCCGCCTTGGCCTCCAAAGTGCTTGGATTACAGGCGTGAGCCACCACGCCCGGCCTCCAGTTTTAGTTTTGATGCCAATTGCCTAGCTTTGGTCAAGTCCATTATGTGCATGATTAAGAATGAGGTTGGTGATATCTATTGAAAACGGCCCAGGAATCAGTTTTCTAGGTTCCTCTGTGCTTTTGGTTGCACCTGCAGTATTTTTCCCATCCTCTTTGTTCCTCAGAATCCTGCCTATCCTTCAAGAATCTGCTATTTCCTGTACCATTTCCTGTACGATGACCCCAGCCAATGTTCATCTAAATCAACATCGCTTTTTTTCAAGACAGAGTCTCACTCTGTGGCCCAGGCTGGAGGGCAGTGGCGCAATCTCAGCTCACTGCAACCTCTGCCTCCCAGGTTCAGGTGATTCTCCCACCTCAGCATCCAGGGTAGCTGGGACTACACGCCGACACCAGCATGCATGGCTGATTATTGCATTTTTCTGTAGAATCGGGATTTCGCCATATTGGCCAGGCTGGTCTCGAACTCCTGACCTCAGGTGATCCGCCCACCTTGGCCTCCCAAATTGCTGAATTACAGGCATGAGCTAGCACTGGATATCTAGAGTATTAATGGCATATATTTTAGATATTTTCTTTCCTTCCTTCCTTCCTTCCTTCCTTCCTTCCTTCCTTCCTTCCTTCCTTCCT